TGGAGGGACTAGGGGTGTTTCTGAGGGGGTGTAGTGGGGGTGTTTGGCGGAGCTAGGGGTGTTTCTGAGGTGGTGTAGTGGGGGTGTTTGGAGGGAAAGGACCCTGTGTCCTAGTGCACTCTCTTCCTCTACGCAATTGCTTGAGAAAATAAAGTATCTGACTTTGCTGTACCCAACCAAAAGAGTGAGAACTGTGTTTTTCTCCGACAGTTGTAAATCAACAATCTGGTCATGAAATGTGGTGGGTTTTTTTGCTAACCAGGAGGATGCATTTGTGTCCAGCATTTGTGTGCTGAGTTTTCATAATAGGCCAGGCTATGGAGCTGTCCAGAACCTAAAGAAATCACACAATGGCAGCGAGTGTAAGGTTGGCTGCCCAATAGTTCTATCTGAAGTCCAGTAACATCCAGGTGTCTCTCGCAGAGAATGGTCAGTGCATTTCTTTATTGGTTGCCTTAGCTGTTGTTAAAGCTGGACTCTTAAGTGCTCTAAATCCACATGGTTACTCAGATGGCCTTGAAACTTAGTATGCCTCATGGGGCTGTGGGGTAGGGTTAGTGATACACATTTGGAGTTATTTGACTAAAAGATTCTTGAGATACAGTCTCCCTGAGAAAAACAGCCTTTCTTAAGACTCACAGAGTCTACTACTTTTTTTTTTTTTTTTTTTTGCACAGACCTAGGAATCAAACCAGGGCTCTGATCTTCGCCCACTACTCTTGTGGGGGCGCAAAATTGAAAACCATATTTCAATAGTATTTGCCAAAGCGTGTAACTCTCAAGATAGCCACATGCCTATTACTCACATGTGAAGCAGATTACACTAAGCATGTGAAGTCTTAGCATTCAAGAGGGTTGCTAGCCAGTTGTGCCTGAAAGCACCTGTGTGGCACAAGGGAAGATGTTCTGGCTGTTGACCCTTAGTATCACACAGGCACTTTAAGTTTGAATCAAACCCTGAACAGAAACTTGAAAATAAAAAAAGGAGGCAGGTTGTTAGAATCTGTCAAAAGCTTTTTTTGGGGGGGGGAGGGTGATGTAATCTAAGTACAGCAGAAAACTGTAGAAGAAGGCACTCAAGCTGTTTTTGAAATAAATTATACATGTGAATGCTTGCTGGGAGTGGAATTAGGTGGTGGAGAAGTACAGGGCATGGGGGGAGATGTTTGAGATGGCAGAAAGGAGGGGTGGGATTACTGGCCTAGAAGATAGGGGGAAGCTGTAGACATATCTTGATTTTTAGTAAGGCTTTTGACAGTCTCACATGACATTCTCATAAGCAAACTAGGGAAATGTGGTACGGAGGAAATTACTATAAGGTGGACGCACAACGGGTTGAAAAACCATTCTCAAAGAGTAATTATCAATGGTTTGCTGTCAAACTAGGAGGTATATCTAGTTTGGTCCCACAGGGTCTGTCCTGGATTCAGAAAGATTCAATATTTTCATTTATGACTCAGGTAATGGTGTGGAGAGTATGCTTATAAAATATGCGGATAACACCAAGCTGGAAGGGATTTCAAGTGGTCTGAAGGATGGGACAAGAATTCAAAATGACCTTGATACATTGTAGAATTGGACTGAAATCAACCAGATGAAATTCAGTAAAGACAAGTAAAAGTCTTACACTTAGGAAGGAAAAAATCAAATGCACAACTTCAAAAAGGGGGAATAACTGGCTAGGCAGCAGAACTGCAGAAAAGGATGGGCATATAGTGGATCACAAATTGAACATGAGTCAATTATGTGATACAGTTGAGAAAAAGACTAATATCATTCTGGGGTGTATTAACAGTAGTGTCCTATACAAGTCACGGGAGGTAATTGTTCCATTCTACTTGGCACTGGTGAGGCACCAGTTGGAATGTTGTGTCCAGTTTTGGGTGCCACACTTTAAGAAAGATGTGGACAAAATGGAGAGAGACCAAAGGAGAGCAAGAAAAATAACATGTTTAGAAAACCTAACCTTGAGGAAAGGTTAAAAAAAGCTGGACTTGTTTAGGCTTGAGAAAAGAGGACTGAGCGGGGACTGGAAATAGTCTTAAGGGCTGTTACAAAGATGATGCTGGTCAATTGTTCTCCATGTCCCTTATCGGTAGAACAAAAAATAATTGGCTTGATTTGCAGCAAGGGCGATTTAGGTTACATATTAGGAAAAACTTCCAAACTATAAGGATAGTTAAGCACTGGAACAGGCTTCCAAGGGAGGTTATGAAATCCCCATCATTGGAGGATTTTAAGAACAGGTTGGACAAACACTTGTCAGGGATGGTCCAGGTTTACTTGGTCCTGCCTTAGTGCAGGGAGATAGATTAGAAGACCTCTTAAGGTTCCTTACAGCCATATATTACTATGATTCTATGAAGACCTTCTACTAGAGGAGGATGAGACACACACTGTGCTGGTGGGTTTCACAGTCAGATAGCAGAGGAATGTTATGTCTACACTGGCACTTCATCAGTCAAACTTTTGTCATTCAGGGGTGTTAAAAAATCGCATACACCCCCCCCCTCCCGAACGACAAAAGTTGTACCAACGAATAGCGCAGGTGTGAACAGCGCTTTTTCAGCAGGAGCTATGTGCAGTCGACAAAGCTGCTGCCGCTCGTGGGGGGTGGAAGTTTTTTGTCAGCAGGAGAGCTCTTTTCTGCTGACAAACAGCAGCTACGCTGCACGCCTTTTAGCAGCACGGCTGTAGCGGCACAGCCGTGTCGCTAAAAGCTGCATCATGTAGCCATAGCCTCAGGAATCCTGTGTTCAATTCCACATTCTGGAGAGGAATGAGCTCTAGTGGTTAGCAAACACTTCTGCCCCTGTCCTCTATAGCTTGTCTCATTTCCCCTTTGCTCCTAACCTTCGGCAGACTGTCTTGACGGGTGTTAAACAACCATGACATCAGAACACACACTAGACTTTTAGTGTATAAAGCAGAGGAAATCCCAATTCTCCTCTACCGATGCGACATTTGGGTGATCTACAGAAAACACCTAAAAAAACGTAGTCCCGGTGCTGGCGTTTCTTCTTCGAAAGATTGGGGGGAGGGATAGCTCAGTGGTTTGAGCATTGGCCTGCTAAACCCAGGGTTGTGAATTCAATCCTTGATGGGGCCATTTAGGGATCTGGGGCAAAAATCTGTCTGGGGATCGATCCTGCTTTGAGCAGGGGGTTGGACTAGATGACCTCCTGAGGTCCCTTCCAACCCTGATATTCTAAGATCCTCAACATAAAGCAGGAGGATCACCGCACTAACATCAGTGTCCTCACAGAAGCCAATACCTTCAGTATCAAGGCCCTAATTATCCAGCACCAGCTGAGGTGGAACGGGCACTGCGTGCGCATTCCTGATGCACGTCTACCAAAACAATTGCTGTACACCCAACTCACCAAAAGAGAAAGGAAAATGGCAGGCCAAAAGAAATGTTTCAAAGACACCATCAAGAGATGTAGCATTAATACGACGCACGGGGAGGCAGTAGCCCAGCACAGGGCTAACTAGCAAAGACTTGCCAGAAAAGGAACAATCACTTTTGAGAAAAATGGCCTTGCCTTGGTCACAGAAAAATGCCAGAAAAGAAAGGACAGACAACTGTCATGCAGCAATTGTGGCCCAACCCTGCCTTTCAACATCACCTGCAATGTCTGCCAACAAGTTTGTAGCTCAAGGATCTGACGCCTCAGTCACCAAAGGACCCATAAAAAATAAAACCCGTGGAAGAAATCATCCTCAACTCCAAGGGACTGACGAGGACGATGATGTTATTGGCATATTACGGCATCGCTAAGGCTACGTTTTAGTCACAGGTATTTTTAGTAAAAGTCACAGACAGGTCACAGGCAGTAAACAAAAATTCATGGCCCGTGACCTGTCCATGACTTTTACTATATACCCGACTAAAACTTGGGGGGCTACCCAGGGGTGCCATAGGTGTTGGGGGGCACGGGCGGCAGCGTGTGGCCTGGGACCCCCATTGGTGCTGGGGGGGGTGCGGGTGGCGGCAGACTCCCTACCTGGCTCAGCGCCTCCCCCCCCAGCAGCAGCACACGCTTTTGGTGTGGGTCGGGGTTGGGGCACAGGATAGGGTGAGACGAACTCTGGGCGGTGCTTACCTGGGGTGCACTCCAGAAGCGCAACATCCCCCTTGCTCAGCTCCTAGGCGGAGGCGTGGCCAGGTAGCTCTGCACACTGCCTCCACCCAGAGCACGGTTTCGCAGCTCCCATTGGCCAGGAGCCACAGCCAATGGGAGCTGCGGGGGCGGTGTCTGCAGGCAAGGGGACCCTGCAGCAGCCCAGCCCTAGGGGCAGGGGGACTCCAGAGCTTCCAAGCACTGCATTAGTGGGGGACCCGGGAGCCCCAGCAGCAGTGGGTGCTGAATCCACCTACCCCTTTTGTCAGGGATATTTTCAGTAAAAGTCAGGGACAGGTCACGGACTGCCATGAATTTTTGTTTATTTCCTGTGACCTGTCCTTGACTTTTACTGAAAATATCCCTGACAAAAACTTAGCCTTACTGATCATCGACAGCATTTTAAAGCAAACTCGCTATTTTATCACAATGCTCACATTTTTAGCACAGCTCTTGTGGTTTGCGGTGTTTTTCTTAAAGCTCCAAGTCCAGGACTCAACAGAGAGCAGGTGAATATCCTCTTTAAGATTGTAGTCCTTGCAATTGCCGAGAAACACTCGCAAACATAAAGCGACCATGATGAAAAGGCCCAGAATCCAGAAGGAAACAACCCCAATGTGGATTGGTTTATCCACAAGCTCTCAAGCTGTATGGGCCAAC